CCAAAGAGAGTTTTGACTAGCTGAGGTCGAACTATATAAGCCTCCTGTTTTTAAGAGTTGTAGGAGGAATGTTAACTAAAAGTACATTTTTTTGTGCCTGTGCTAATAAATAATTAGTAAAGTATTATGAGAATAACTAACTTATTTGATAATGGGGGATGTTGATGTGTCCCAGCATTCTGCATGATTTTATGCATTTCATTTAGATATGGGAGATTGGGTAGTAGAAATTTTAACCTCAGTATAGATCGTAAAGTTTCTGTGTTTTTCAATAAATACCTAGGACAAACGCTATTTTTTTCATGAACTTTCCTTAGAAAGTGAAATCTGTTCTTATTTGTCAAAGCTTTGATTTGATTAAAGGATTTATTATGTTATTTTTTGTGTGTGTTGTTCTATTAAGTACACAAGGTCTGCCAGAGGTCTGTGTAGTGCAAGGCTTTTCAACCTTGGCACTATTGTATTTTAGACTGGGAAATCCTTTGTCGTGAGAAAGCTGTCCCACAAATCCCTAGCTCCACTAAACAGATTCCAGTGAGAGTTCACCATCCTAGTTGTGAAAATAAAAAAGTGTGTCAAGACATTGCCAAATGTCCACTGAGGGGCACAAATAAATGGTCCTACTTGACAACCACTAGATTAGTGCAAAACAAACCTCTCTTTTAGATAGGGCATATAGGCCAGATGGATGCAAATGTTACTGCTTGGTTAACCCATTTAAGTAAAATTAAATTTGTCAAAATAAATCTAAATCCCTCATTAATAGTTAAATGTATCTCTCTGTTTTGTCTGTTAGATGCTCTTGGCATATTCTGAATGGAACAATGAGTGACTTCCTTATACATGCAACAATTCCTGGAAAATCTCAATAAATTGTCAAAAAATGCAAAAGAAAAGACTCTAATGATTCAGCTTCTAAGCTCTCAGTGGTATCTCCTTATTTCCAAGATTAGATAATTTGCTGAGTACTATTCTGTTACAGGGTAGTGACAGTGATAACGAATCTATGCTATTTTCAGGTTGTTGATATTTTTGTGCATCTTTTAGGTAGCCTTCTAAGAGAAAAGGTTTTTGTTTGTTTTTAAATGACAATTTCTCCATCTACCCCCTCAAGGATATCAGGGTTTTTATCTTTAACATTTTTCAGATTGTAATAATTCTCATTCTATTTGTTTATAAAAAAAACAGCCTCAGGTCTTTTTTAAAGAGGCAGAGGTGGAACTATATGTCTTCTATATAGCTGGTGTGGGGTAGGTAGTCTTTTTCTCAAACAAAAACAGAATAAAGAGGCTGTGAAGTATGTCAATATGATATTCACTTCTGCTGTTCCTACTGCTTCAAAAGATCACAGTAGTGATCACAGGCCCAAACTGATAATCTTGCTATGGTTTGGGTTTTTTGTAGGCAAGGTAATTTAATATAAATAGCTTTTCTGAAATAGAATAATATTGAAAATACTTGCTAATTTTAGAGAAAAGTGCTTTTACACTTACTGTATTTCAAAGGAATATTATCATTCAGCATATTTTTCATCTTTCTAAATCCAATAGACAATCTCTTATCAGAAAAAGGCCTAAATTTTTCATGTATTTTTCTTTCTTAAAAAAAAAGTATATCTCATTTCTGCTTCCAGCTAGTAAGTAGTAAGAGAGACTGGATTTTTTACTCCCTCCTTAAATAATTAAAGATCTGAACAGAATATACAAAAGAGCAATTTTCATGACACTGGACACTAAACAGTGGAATACAGAGATCCCTGAGAGATAGAAAACAAATAAGATGAGACATATGGTTTTCCTTGTGTATTGCTATGTTGCAGGGACGAACAGGCCAGGAGGCCGCCAAACAAACTTTCTGAGTTAAAGAAATGGAGTTGAGGACTGAGGGAAAACAAAGTTGCCAGAGGTCAGAGAGATCTTCCAAGGGGCCTTTGTGTTTGGCAAAGCAGTGATTATTTTTTATATGTAAGAAAACTACCTGAGCCTGGTGGGGGAAAAAACACCTGGAAGGATTAGAGGGAAAATTTCCTGCACCTCACATAGGACTTGGAAAAAATGCCTGTTCTCATCAGGAAGACAGGAAAGCCTCATATATTATAGGTATTGGGTATAGTACTCAGAGACTTCTTGCATCTGTAGTGGGGAATAATTAGCTCTACATGAAACACTGCTTCATACTTGCCTAACAAATATTGAAAAGCAAGACTTGAAAGTAACAAACCATTTCCAAATAACTTGACTCTATCCCAGGATAGAGCTCAAGAATATTTATAAGAATATAAAAATATCCAGCATGCAACAAACTCATTTTCATGATATCTAACATCTAACCAAAAATTAGTAATATTGCAGAAAAGCTGAAAAATATGACACATAATAATGAGAAAAGTCTATCAAAATTGATAGAAAACTTAGATGTTAGAATTAGCAGACAAGAGTATTAAAAGATTTTTTTAATTGTATACCATACGTTCAAAAGTTAAGTTGGTATCTGAAAGACAAAAAGAAATCCCAAATTGAACTTCTAGAGAGGAAAAATCAGTATGTGAGATGAAAATTCACTGGGCATGATTAACAAAATATTACACATTACAAAAGAAAAGATCAGTAAGTTTGAGACACTGCAATATAAATTATCCAAAATAGAGAAAAAAATATTTTAAATCAACAGATCATCTGTGGACTATAAAAGTACTTCAAGAGTACTTACAAGTACTCCTAATGTACATGTAATTGGAGTCACAAAAAAGGAGGGGTGGGTAGAAAACATATTTGAAGAAGTAATGGTTGAAATTTTTCCACATTTGATGAGGACTATAAAACCCACAGATGCAAGAAACTCAGCAAACCCCAAACACAAAAATCATGAAGAAAACATCAAGAGAAATCATACCTGAATTTTTCAAAACTAGCGATAAACAGAAAAATTTAGAGTTGCCAGAAGAAAAAAGATATATTACATATGGAGGAATTAAGGTAAGCAAGACAGCAGATTGTCTCATAGGAAACAATGCAAATGAGAAGGCACTGGGGCAATATCACTAAAGTGCTGAAATTAAAAAAAAAAAACTATCAAGTTAGAATTCTGTACCCAGTGAAAAATATCTTTCAGATATGTAGACAAAATAAAGACTTTTTCAAACATGCAAAAACTGAAAGAATTAATCACCGGTGGCCCTAAAGTACAAAAAATGTTTAAAGACTTTTAGGCAAATGAAAATACCAAATATAAATCTGGATCTACGGAAAGGAATGAAGATAACCTTAAATGAAGCTTCATGACCCCTACCTTGGACTTCTGGTAGTCTCTTTGCTCAACATGAAGAACATTAGTGTGCTCCTTATTCAGTTTTCAATTAATGAGGAATATGTGATAAGACATGGTGAGGAACACATTGATAAGGGACTGGTCCCTGACTAACCAAGAGGAACAGAGCTGCCTCAAAATCTGGACCATTCAGCTAGGAACTGTTACTCAGTGACTAATAAAAGTCTGTACTTTTGAATGTGTCTATACTTTAGAGTTTGATACTGCAGATTGACCTTTACCTTAATGGAAACAATTGTTTTTAAAGCTGTAAAATTCTATATTAATATCTTTAATCTACTTAATTTTTTTTCCACGTAAAGACACAGTTGATCCGCAGTAGAAAGGCCATCTTTTTCTCACTAATCTGAAATACCAACTCTATCAAATATCAGTCACCTATGTATGCATGAATGTTTTTCTGGGCTATCTGTTGTATTAGTCAATTTCACTATCTATTCACCAATATTATGATATTCACGCACTAATTAGATATATTTATACTAAGACCTGATAGCTTGTAAGGCAAATATTCCAACTTTTTCTACTTTCTCAAATATATCTTGGCTCTTCCTAGCATATTGAATTTCTGAATAAATTTTTTAATCAGTTTTTTAAAAGTAGATGAAGAGGTTATTAAGAGCTGTAATGATATTACATTGGTTTCAACCTGTCTTGTTATGGATTCATATATACAGAAGTCTTCAGTCCTATGACAAGGATTAGTCTTAGAGTGACCTTTTATCCTCACAGCTATAGCGGCAAAGCAGGCATGGTAGTGATGGGGTAATACTTTGCTTACCTAGTAGGCATCTGGGCGTCGGGTCTCCCTCTCTCTGAGTTATATACACATTGCAGTAGAACTAAGGATATCATCTCGCACTTGGTTACCATTCACTGCAGGTATTTTGCTGTAAACCGTATGGATACAACTTCATTGCTGTAATCATATTTATGTGTATATCATCGGCACACTGAGGGCTCCTTCGAGGCATGGACCAGACTCATATTTATTAGATTCTCACAGAGTGAAGTGTACAACACTAAATTTATTCTTCAGGATTATCAATTTGACCCTTCTTAACTGACTCAAGGGTTGAATTCTCTGTAACTCCATTTTAATACTAAGTTGAGGAATTCAGGCAGTTTATTTAACATTCATTACTTATTGAGTACCTACTTTGTTCTAGGTATGGTAATAAGTGCTTATATTTAGCAGTAAGGAAATAGATACAGATTCTTCTCTGATGGGAAAATCCAACATTTAAGCAAAATAAAGAGAAATATAAATATTTAATTTACAATTCTGTTTAATGCTATGAAAGGGAAAATAAAGTTTTATGTGAGAATAACCAGAGGGAGGATAATGCATTCTTCATGTATTAGAGCATATTATGTACCTGCTCTAAATGAGACCTGACTGAACTTGGAATATAACTGGTTTTATGTAGCAAATTAAATATAGTTTTATTTTTTCCTGTAATTAATTCATTCTTTCATTTATTCCCCATCATCCATGTTCATTGGCACTATAATGGTTCAGATATTGTGATCACAAAAATGACCTAGACACCGTCCCCGTGTTTGAGGAGCTCATAATTTAATGGTTTATATAATTACCATTACTTCTCATTAAATAATTGTGTACCAAATTAAAACATAAATATATCCTCTTACTTTTTCATGTTTTTTAGATGAGGATAGGCATTCACTCAGGCTCTGTGCTGGCTGGAGTTGTTGGGGTAAGAATGCCACGATATTGCCTGTTTGGAAATAATGTCACTCTGGCAAGCAAATTTGAATCAGGAAGTCACCCTCGGCGCATCAATGTCAGCCCAACAACTTACCAGTAAGTGTTCTCTGGCCTCTTCCCCCGGTTTTTGGCATCGCCTTGAGCTAATAACCTGTCATTTGTGCAATCTGATTGTTTTTCTTGACCCCATCATTTTCTAAGATAATATGAATGGATCTTCCTAGTCTGAAAAATAGCAATTGTGACACAAACTTTCATTTACACCCCAAGAGAATGCATGGAAAGCCTGACTTGACTGGGAGGTAAATACAGGTTTGTCGTTTCCCACAATCTCTGTCCTTCCAAGTATACCTGTTTAAAATACAGGGGAGTGAATGTTAAGGGTCTGCATTACACTACCTTAATAAAATTCTATTATTTTTGAAATGTTCTTAATGTTTATTAAAATCAAAGGAATAAGATAGAAAAGACTGTTTGCCTGTTTTTATACTTTTGAATCATGATTATAAATAAGGACTGCCTAAAATTAAATATATACTGAGTACAGAGTAAAAGTTCAAACTCTATTTATCTTAAAGGTCATATTTGACAAGTCTATACATTTTTGACAGCCAAACTCATTCTTATTTTGTGCCTTGTAGATGTCATTTTACCCTTTAGGTATTAAGCTCATATGAGCAGGGACATTTTTTGTTTTGACTCATCAGTATATTCCCCAGAACTTACAAAAATCATTGAACACACAGTAAGCATTCTGTAAATATTTTTGAATTAATGAACAAAAGCATTGATAAGATGGACTTCTCTTAAATAAGAAACCAGTATAACTATCTCCTACCTGTTAAACTTTGGCTTTATGCTAGGCATTTGTGTGCAAGTGATTTAATTAGTGTCATGATTTAAATGACTTAGAAATCACATTGCAAAACTGTAAAGTTGAAAATAGTGATCATTGATTTTTTTAATTAACATGGTTACAAAAAACCCTGAAGCAGAAAACGTATATAGGTAACAAAAATTAATTATGATGGTAAACAAAATGGTGATACTTTGAAGCTTTTGATGACATATTTATATAAAGGGAAATTAAAGTCTCTTGGATAAAAGACAAGTCTTTCCAGATTCTTGAGAAGTAGATGAGAAGGGAACTGAAATTACAAATGTAAAATCAGGCAACTACCTGCTTAATAACTACTTGTCATTTTTAGGGTGTTTACATAAGGGCTTTGCCTCTTTTAAGTTTCTTTCAAGTTTCCTAACATAATTCTGGGCATAATACAAATGATCTGACAATAACTTCCATATTAAGTTGAATTTAGGGAACTTCTCCCAATCAGTAATTGTGACATTGCTTTAGACTGCATGGGAAGGAAAGTTCCTGAAGGTCAGTCACATTACCTATACCCTCTTACTATGGTTATGATTTTCCACAACTTGGTGCTGTTACTTGTGTTCCATGTTTGTATAGATTTACATCTAATGTGGAAACTCCATTTTGAAAATTGTGTAAAGAATGGATCAACTGTGTGAGGAGCTCATGCCCTGAGCTTAGATAGACATCATAGCTATAGCTGGCTTTGTTTACATGTGGCCAACAAAGAAAACTCCAAAAGCCATACTGGGTCTGCATTTGGGTGCTGTCTCTGATTTTTCATAATCTTTTTCACATTAATTGAGTTGGTGATGATTCCTGGTGATCAGTAGATCTAAGGGACTGAATAATTTTAAGCACTCCAAGCATTGAAACACTTTGTTCTGTTATTGTCTACCCCTTCCCTTCCCCAAGATCAAATGGAGTCATAGATTGACACAGTGAGCTGCCATGTAGGTAGACTCTAAAGGATATTTTCTCTGACTGGCTCCAAATCATGTAATTCCCACTAATACTTAATAAAATTTTTTAATAAAATCCTCAAAACAATCTTTTCCTCCCTTTTTCCCTGTGCCCCTCCATTCTTCCTTTCTTTCAGCAAATATTTATTGAGTACCTATTATATTCCAAGTGATAGACACTAATGATAAAATGATGAATAGCATAAATATGATCTCCTCTCTCTTGGAGACCACACTAATGGTAGCTGTACTCAAGTAAGCAATTAATGTAATAAACTAGTGATGAGGTCAAGAAACTCTGATGGGAGTATTAGTGCAAAAGGAGGAGTGGCTGAAATGGGGATGGAGAGATGAACTGGAGTCAGACCAGCTGAAGGTGGTTGGTCCGGTTAAGGGTTAACAAAGGACATTGAAGAGTTTTAAATGGAGGAGGAACTTAACCATATTTGTACTTAAAAAGAAAAAATCACCTAAGTTGTAGAAAGGAGAACATATTAGAGAGTGGGAAGCATCAGCAATCCAGTGATTGAAAGCAGGCAATCTTTTCCCATTTCTTGGATGGAAGTACAGCTGATTACTGAGACCTCAGAGTCCTGGCCATATGCTGTTTCAACTTGTCTTCCCATGCTTTGGAAGAGTGACCGACTCAATGACCTTTGACATTTGCTTTAATCTAGGATGCCACTAAACACAATGCACCATGGCTCCTAGTAAATTTCTCGAAAATTAAATTTAAGTATTTATTCTCAGATTCTGAATCTGTTTGTGCCTAAGTACTTTCTGCTGTTTTTTTCTATACCAATCTGTACAGTTCAGCCACAAATAATTTTTTTTCCATACTGCACAGGTGATTTATGAACCCACAAGTGTAAAGGGTACTTCTTCTTTCTCAGGACACTAAAATGAAATGTCAAGATTGAATTCTCAAGGACATTATCAATACAGGGACAAAACTGTACTTTCTTAAAGCAAATAGGAATTCTTAAAGCAAATAGAAATAAAACTTGGAATTAAGCTCATTAGAGCTTGAAATTTCCAGTTTTCTTTCCTGGATTAAATCCTGTAGGATGTCCAATATTGTCTTGTTATCTTGAAATCTTCAGAGAAGTGTATATTCAGTTTATTTTTAGGAATACTATATAATTATCATAAACTTTGAGATAGTGGATTATTTTGGTATTATGAAAAATTGAAATAATTTTCTAAATAAATCCAAATAAAGTTTGCCAGAAATGGTTGATTAAAAAAACACTTCTACAAATATTTTGAAGTATGAAAAATTAAAAGGAATAGTATGATATTCATGCTCCCGCTTTAATACTTTATTATATTTGTCTTAGGTATTACTTAATAAAAATTAATAAAATTTCCTGTGGGATTTTTCTTACCTTTCATTGTGACAAATAGCATAATGAATCTGATGTGTTTCAAAGTCCAGTGTTTTTTACATTAACTTTTCATATGTAACCATTTTAAGTTGAATAAGTGATATTTCACTTTTTGAACCTTTCTCTACCATTGGTTTATTTGAACAAAATTCCATATGTTGAAGATCTATATATGTTGAGATACATAGTTCTAGCTCATCATTTTAATTACTGCACAACATTCCAGTTTATGACTATACCATATTTTAATTTTTATTCATCTATTCCTCTATTGATGAACACTTAAGGTTCTTTTTCTAATTTTTAACTATTACAAACTATGTTCCTATGAACTTTACCTACCCATCATTACATATTAGTTCACTTTACATTTCATATTATATAAATAATTGAACTTTGCATAGATTACTAAGATTGGAATGATCTGATGTTGTTTATCTTAAAATTTATTGCTGACATAAGGAAGAAAGTTTTAAAAATCAGGGCCATAACTTTTATTATGACAGTCTTCATTTTCTAGATTCTTAGAGTGTGAGTCATTTTGCTGCTTGCAGTATGCCCAATGACCATTCCCTCTTCCCCTAGGGCACTTTATTGCTAGTTTATTTTTCTGGACCAAAAAAAAAATCTTTAATGAGTTTTTAACTTTCCATGTTTGATTTTTAATTTTTCTCCAATAAATGTGATGTTTATACCCAGCTTTGTTCCCACTCATTCCAATTTAAAAATAATGCACACATTACAATTGTCTTTAACATCATGCCTCTGTGAGTCCAGGAAGAAGAAATACCAGGGCAAAATACCTCTTAAAGCCAAAATCTCTCAAAGGGAGAAATTAAGTTTAAAACCCATTTTTTGCTTACAAACTGCAGTCCAGGGCCATCTCTCTACCCTGCTCAGGAAGAAGCAAGTCCCTCCCCTTAACCTCTCAGGTTCAGACACGCCCATGGTTGCCCAGGTAATTACCCACTGACATGGAGATGAACTTCTTTCCACCCCTGAGGATATGCAAATGAACTAAAGCCAGGCGAGGTACTCTGGAAATGCTACAATTTTACCCACAGCCCCTGATCTGTGAAACTGAAATAATTGCTTGTATTAGGGATTATTTTGGCAAATTTTTTGAATGGCATGAATAATCGAATGATTTGCCTAAGCAAAAATTGTTTTCCTTCCTACATGCAAGCTAAAAATGTAGAAAGACCCTTTAATAACTTTGATAGGAAATTTTCCTTAACCTTTAAACATTTTTGCTTTTCTTATTTTACATTTGATCTATCTCTAGACTTTTCAGAATTCCTGTCTTTCATTCACTATGTAAGGCCCCTTCTGTTAAAACAAGTTACCTTTTAACCACTGCTATATAAACAGCTCATCTTATCAGGGAATGTACAAAGAGCGGCACAGAGTGGCGATAATGTGCACTCCAGAATCCAGGCTCTAAGACTTATGGTCTGTGTGAAATTTAGCAGCTTCATTTCTTTGGGTCCAGTTTTCTCATCTTTAAAATAGGTATGTTTCAGAAGATTATTATTAAGATTAAACATGACATTTATAAATCTCCTAATACTAAGAATATAGATGAAATCCATTATTGCTTCATCCTGTTTTTTCCATACAGGAATAGATCATCTTATTCCTGCATTTAATTCCCATATTTTGTAAACGTAGCCATGTTGAATGATGTATGATAATTGGATTACAGACCTCATGTGGCAATCCCAGAGAAACAATGGTTTGGTAATTTGGCCAAAGGCATTTTAAGCTATGACTCAAAATTTAGCTGGTAATCTGCTTATTGTGACAAGTTTTTATTAACAAAGGCATCTTACTGAAGACTAAGTCATAGGCATGTGATAAAAACTGGCTATCTTC